GAGATGTCGCCTATTAGGTCTAACAAAGGAGACTGTTGCGTTCCATTATTGTTATAGTGTCGGGTAACACATAAACCAAAAGGGTTTTTTCCTACCTTTCATCGTGCCAAACCTTCAGAGATAAGCTATAAATCTTCTCATCATTATAGTTTTGGCCTTTTTAACTGCAGGTGTTCTATTGTACAGAAATGCTGATGTAATAAAAATTACATAACTTTTTCATGTAATGCTCATTGAAGTTTTCATCCTCGCTCATTCTTAATATCTACAAAATCCACTAGTACTGCTCTGGTATCTGCTCCTTTGTGTAAGGAGGAACAGGATGAACAGTGCCAGAGCTACGATATGACCTCCAGGAGGACACTGGTGTGAATGTCCAAATAATCCGAAACAGACTTCATGAGAGTGGCTTAAGGGCCTGCTGTCCTCTGGTGGGTCCTGTGCTCAATGCTCAACACCATTGCGTTCAACTGGAATTTGCCAGATTTGGCAGGTCTACCATGGGTTCCCAGATTGCAGCTTCACCCGGAGCACATGTGACAGATGTGAAAAGGTCTGGAGAAGCCGGTAACAACGTTATAGCTGTGTCCCAATTCAGGGTCTGCATCTTTCGGAGGACCCGGCCTTCTCGGTCTTCGGAGGACGCGGCCGACGTAGCGAAGTGCGAGGTTTGTGACATGGGACGGTCTAACCTCCGTCAAGCTGCTCAGGTTGCCTAGTACCATGATACTAATCGCTGGAAACGTTTCATACAGCATTGTTTGACAGAGACATTTTTTATGTTCATTTGTTTGTTTTTATTTGAGCTTTGTTTGATTTGTTGAGTATCTGAGGCTGACACCACGGGACTATAAGAACATGATTGTTGGGCTTCATTTCTGTGCTGAATAGTCATTTTAAGATTAGCTAGTAAATAAAAATTAGCTTATGTTGTTCATGACACTAAAGTCATCTCACTTTGGTAATGTAAACATAATATGGCCAATATTAAAGTTATTATTATATTAAACTTTATTAGTTATTGCAGCAGTGAACTTGAACTCCATGTCAAATACTGAGCCTCAGTAAAGATTGAAGTTGCAGTTATTTATATTTCCTATCACCTTAAATCTTCACTCAAAGACAAGTATCTTTGACAGTGTATATATAGATGTATTATACATAAGAGACAAATATTGCTCCTTTATTATGTTGGCATTAGTAAATGTGGCTCAGTTCTTACAAACATGTGTAAATAGAAAATGTACGAGCTGTGATAACTGTGTCTGATAGAATGAAGAGTAGACTGATGTATTAAATATTCCTTTATTGGGTGAGAAAATCAGACCATGTCATAACTGCTTTAAGTCATACAGAATAGATATCAGAGCCTTAAATGGGCTGACTTCTGCTAAATGGGTCAAACTGGGCAGAAAGTACACAAACACATAACATCCTTATAGAATATGATGTAACACTATAGATCAACTTACCTCAGAATATATAAAGCATATAAACAATTACAGCAATATGATGCAACAAACACAGCAGTACTACTAATCCAAAATACTCAAAGCTTCATAGGATTGAAAAAAACACCGTCTCAGTGTGGACGGGAGGGCAAAACGAAGAGAAAACAATGCGTTTTCAAATGAAAATGAATTAGTGTGGACTTAGCCTGAGGGAACAATGGGCTGGGAGGTCAGTTCATTTCTCATAATTATGCAAATTCTCATGACACTTAACAGATCCTTGGGGTGGACCAATTTTTGGCGCAGCGTGTTTTGGGATTTGAAACCCACAGAGATGCAGTGTTTAGAAAAATGCGTCTCAAGTGCTCCGATACTCGTGACTCATACAGGAACACTACAGGTTTTCGCTTAGGCAGCGGTTGTCCTTCTCTCCTGGATTGGCTGGAGCCTTCTTTTGGCGCCTTCCCAGCTTTGACAAAAGTTCAGCTGGGATAACCATCTTTACTCAGGGCCTTCTTATCAAGAGGGCCATTTACATGGAAAGGGAAAGACCATCTCTGAATCGAGAAAGGGGCCTAAGGGTCCATCTTTCACCATCTTACAATGCTGTGATTGCAGCCATTCCCCAACTCTCTGTGAATGGTCCTTATGGCCATTGATCAGTGGTTGTTGATCAGTGGTCATGAGAATTTGCATAATTATGATTAAGGAACTGACCTCCCAGCCCATTGTTC